GTCATGCTCTCTTTCAGAAGTAACATTTTACAGAGTTTACATGGATTTATTATCCCAAGTGTTGAGTTTGCAAAGTGGCTAACAACAAAATCCACACTCCTTTTGGATACAGAGACAAATCAGAATGGAAATGGTGTGCCTATGAAGTTGACTTACAATTTGAAGATTGAGACATTTCTTGACTATGAGCTAATTCCATGACGGATCAAACTGAAACATAGGCGTTTGAGATATGATGCCCAAAGTCGGCTCAAAGTCTGATCTTCTACACCATATCATTCATCCTTTTTCTGTAGTCTCAGTCTTGCTTCTACATCTCCACTGTAAGGTGAAACCTGGAATGCATACTGCTGGAAAACGGAAAAGACAACCATTTCGAGGCACACTAGGACATTTTGAATAGCTTCCTCAACATGCTCGGTGTCCAACCAGAAATGGTGGGATCGAATGATGCCCATTGCAACGAGGATATCAAGCACCATTCCCTACGTCATAGGAATACAACTTTAGTAAACTAATAATGACAGTTATGCTTCTTATTCACATGAACATCGTCATTCTTGTGAGCTACTTTAAATGAACAAGTGGAAGGTACAAAAATAAACCCAACCAATTCACAAATTTAGGCAGCAACTTTATATGAGCTAATTCAATTGAATTTTGAAACAGTGAAGTTAAAATTGAATTTCGTGGTCATCTACAAAACTGATATTCAAAAGGTCGGCTAGTCTACGTAGAACAGAACCCTCTAAAACTAGTATAGTTTACCTATAACTTATAAGCCGTGTTCAATACACTCATTGTTTAGCAATGGTAACAATAACAACATATCAACAACAACCATAAATGTGTAGCAACAACATTAGCAAGTAACAACTTTTTACTACTAATACACATGCATCATTTTCTTGAATAATGAGTGTAGTAAATCTTGGTAAACAGGCCGTAAATATTAAGGTTTGTAATTCATTTCCATGGACAATGGAAGAAAGCCATTATTGACAAGTGTGCAATGAAAATTAGTAAAAAGATTCATTTCAGGCGAGCAAATACTCAAAACATATAAAGAGCACAGACTATTAGCACGTTCACATTCCGTATTCAAAATAACTTTTCTCACAATAATAATATGCGAAAAGAGCAAAGAGTGAAAACGAAAAATATTTACCTGCCAAAAGCTGAAGAAAACAATCCCTTTAACGCAGAGAAACTTTGCCAGTGGCTTATGAGGTTTCAGCTCTTTAGCAAAGACATGGTAGAAGACGACTAAGGAATACATAGCCAAAGCAAATGATAGGTTGAGAATGACTGTGAATATCCAGCTGACCCAACTAGGATATATCCCAAGAATTTGTAATGTTATCATCAAGATGGAGCATATGGGGCGGATAATCACAAATTGCCATGTCCAGTACTTTAGAAATCTGATTGTATGAATATCCAAATGTGTCTTGGTAGGCTGCATTTTAGCAAAACGACCTGTGTTAGACTCATAATCATACTTTCTACCAAATATCAAACATAATATGACACACTAGTTAGTGGGAATAATAACAAAAATTCAGTAACTTTTCCTATTAGGTAATCTTGAGGAGCAGAAAATCACTAGCTTTTTTTTCTACTCTCCTCAGCTTCTGAGCATGATTGCAGAATACAAAGAAACCTCACTTACCTTCTCCTACTTTGGCTTTCAAGATCAAATGGTAAATTCCAACTATCCAACACAATTCAGAATACATGCGACAGTCAGCAGCACAGAAACAAAAACTGATGATTTCATAAAATGCTCGACCAAACATTTATCTCTGGAAATTTTACAATTGTATGCTCCAATATAGAAGAAAATTTCAACCTTCTTGCTCTATGAACGATAATGCTTATAAGCGTTCTTGTTTTATCTGTCTATAAACAAACTTCTCAAGAAAAGCAAATTAATAATAAAGAACAAAATCCCACCAGGAAAAGGGTCATCGGAAATGAATGGTGAATCTCCCTTCCTTTGATTTCATCCGGGACAATATTTCTGTTCGTGGATATATTCAAATAGCTGTACATCAGTGACAAGAACTTAGCAATTACCTGTGCACACAACGAGAAACAAAAGAAAGCCCAAAAAATGGGGGAAAACAGAAAAGCACAAAATTTTAGCTGCTTGAAATGAAGAACAAAACAAGACCACATGAACCTAGAACCAATTTAACATAATTAACCATAAAGAAGATAAGCAAAGACCCACATACCAAAGCCTCATAGCATTCCTTAACGGAGTCCAAGAGCATGAAAAAGGGTTTACTACCGCGAATATCCAACAATCCCACAAACGAGTTAATAGCATAAACAGGGGCCATCATGATAATTATAAGTATCGCTTTTTGCTCCTTTGGATTCTTCCAGTAAAACGTGTGTTGCGTCAAGAGTTGAAATGTTAAATGTAAAGATAACATCACACACAACCCTGATCCTGCTAGTGTAATTTGCCCTCGATCCATCCGACCAAAATCCATAATAAATGAAAGTCAATTTTGCTTAATCTGCAAAAGTGTGCTTGATGGTCATATTAAGAATATCTCCTAGTACATGTAATCAAGGAAATAGAAAGAAGAAATCTTACTCGGTTAGGATGTAGAATCCAGCAGCTTTGTCTATGACTCGTTAATGATTTCAATGACGCTGTCCATATAGAAATGAAAATAAAAAGTCAAAATTACCCTTTGAACAAGAAGCCTAAAAGCGTGTGCTTGCTCAATCAAAAGCGGGATACATATGCTGCTTGTCATAGCCGCCTTTGTCGTATGTTTTAAGCGTGTTAGTCTAAATTCTAATCAATAAGGTTAAATTAAGAATAAGGATGTATAAAATAGTGAGTAATTCTATTTAGTTTGGTCTTAAAACATCAATTTGGATGATATTAATGTGATATTAAATGAGATATATAGTTAAATAAATCACTTAATTTTATATTTTATTAAGCCTACGACTTAACACCACTTAAATTGGTGTTCTAGCGCCAGTAATCTTTGATAACATTATTCTAAATAGTTGGGTCTCCAAATATGCAATGTGCATTCTGACTTGTGTTCTAAAATTCGTGTATATGCTTCGCATATGCTCAATATATTTTTCGAAATGTCTCGCATATAGGGTATGCACGCTTAATTTCCAAAGTACCAATATATTTGTGTTAAAAATTGTGTCAAAATTAGCCTAACTTAAAAAAATAAATTGAGCTCAACAAATATCAAATTAACCCAAATCACTCAATCTCATGAATCATATACAACATTTTGCAGGATTTTGACATTTAAAAAAATTATAAATCATAACCAATTTTTCGTAGAGTTACAAACTATCTACGTCGAGCACGAGCCTCGTTCTTCTTCGATCTTTCTTTAGTTTAATTAGTAAGCGATATTATTAATCATCTTGGACTGTTAATGGTTGTAATGATGAAGAAGATGTTAATAATGATATTCTATCTCCATAAAAGGTAATAGAAATTATATAGTTGAAATAAGGGATTCTAATAAAAATGATTTTTCATTGAATGACACAGAAAATGACTTGAATTGGAAGAGTTGGAAAATATTTAGATTTTTTTTTAAGCTGATGTTCTTGTCTAACTTAATTGTAAGAATTGATTATTAAGTAATTGTAATATTTATGATATTGAGTATTATGTTTTTGTTAAAAATTTGAAGAATAATTATAAAATTCAAGTAATTGTAATGTTTATGGTTTTGAACAATATTTTATTTAAAAAAAATTGAAGAATAGGTATAAAGTTTAAATAATGCATTATTTTATTTATTTATTAATTTAGAATATTAAAAATTGAAAAATGCATAATTATGTATATGCTTCGCATAGGCATACATATTCTTGTAATGCTTGATACTCGATTGAAACACATTATCACGTATTAAGCATTTTAGAACCTCGATTCTAATTGATTACATTTTATAAGTTATAGATTTAATACTCTACTTTTTAAATTATTTAAATATATAATTAGAATTTATTAACCATTGACATAAAATAATATATTAAATAAAATATGAAAGGTCAAAATATAAATTATTGTCAAAGTGTATCAAGAATTTTTCTGTTTAAATTTAAATATTCCATTGTATATAAATAAAATGATTTATAAAAAAACAGTGTCTCCTAGATATGTGCTTTAAGGAAGAGACATGTTTCCAGAATCAAGGAAACACAAATTCATTCTTGTCAAATCAAGTTTAGAAAAGGATAGAATCATAGAATAAATCATTCTCTCTGGCATTAAGAATGGCATTTCTCTTATGTATCAAAATTTGGTTAGTAATAAGAAATGATGTTATAAATATTAATGGTACCAAGAAATTGCATGTCAAAGAATGTCAAATTCAATGTAAATGTTAATGTACATGTAACTTGTTTAATTTTTTTAAGAAAAACATGTTTTAAATGTTTGTGTGTAAGGGTATTTTTTAGGCAATTTAATTTAATAATGACCATATTGTTATATAGTCCTTGTTTGAGTCCTCCTTTTTTTTTTTTTGTGGGGATATTTTGGAATGATATTTTTTTAATGTATGATTAAAAAATAAGAAAAAGTCTTCGATTTACATTTAAAATTATTTTATTGGAGAATTTGTGATTGAAAATGAGTTTTTGATAAAATCATATTCAAACAAGGGCATAATTCAAAATCGTACATCTATAAAATTAGACCTAAAAATCATGAAGGCTTTTGTTTGTTATTTTCAAATTTGTTTCAGTTTTACAAAACATTAAAAATTGTTTGGTCTGATATTTTGAAAATAAAGTTAAGCTTATAACATAAAACTCAAAAAATATCTTAAAACTAAGAAATTTTAAAAACTAAGAAATAAATTCTAAAAATAATAAAAATCTAGAAAAAATAAATTTGAAACTCTAAAAATAAATATTTGAAAAAATAAAATCTAGAATATTTAAAAAAAATTAAAACTAAAAAAAATAAATTATAAAAATTTAAATTATAAAAAAAATAAAAATAGTTCCAAGTTCTTATTTGTTATTTAAATAAAGATTATTTAAAAGAACCTAGATAAAAAATTTCAATCCCAATCATTGATTCTTATATATTAGGATAGGATTGGATCATCAAAGAATCATCAATATTAGAGTATTGAAATTTTTGGTGGGGGTTTTATAATTTAACGAGATTCTGAAAGGGGATTTCATTTCATTTAAATTAAGCATTTGTTTGAGCCTCATTTTGAGAGAAAAATGCATTTTTGAATAATGATTTATGGAGAATGTGTTGTTAAATTTTTTTTTTTTTTTTAAAAAGCGATTTACGTGTAATATTATTTTATTAAAAAATATATAATTAAAAATAATTTTTGAAAAAATAAATTTTTAGAAAAATGAGGCTCAAACAACCCTTAAATAACTGAAATTTATCTTTTATCAAAGAAGTTTTGATAGCTGTGGATCACAAAAAATAAATAAATAAATAAAAATAAAAAACCACTAAAATCATAACAAAAAATGCTTCGTGAAAAAATCGATAGTTTTTTTTTTTTAGGTTCCGAAAATGAAACTAAAATTATTTTCTATATTTTGTCAATTTAATTTACAGTTTTATTTGTTTTATTTTTGTAACTACGAAAAATATAATAAGATTCAACAACTTTGAAATATATTACTCGATAACATATTAATATAAAATATTCTATTTTATTGAATAATCAAATTTCAAGTAATAAAATGTAATAAAAACAATTTTCAATAATTCCAAATTAAACGTGTTTTTTAGTTATATATTTTAAAAAATAGCTTTTAAGAATTACAAACCAAATATGTTTTCAACAATCATAAATAAAACTATCAAAATTGAAAAATGAAAATAACAAAAGGGACCAAACATTTTAGATAGTTTGTCTTTCATATATGGCCATTAATAAATAGATAAAAATGTGTTATGGAATCTATGTATTTTAAGCACTGACACTTGAGAGATCAAATTCGTAAGATATGCGTATATACATGTACATAAAGATTTACATAATAAATTACATAATGTCACGTGATAATCTATCATTTGCCAATTTAAAACACAATCAATTTTTTCATCCAATCTTTTTCGTTCACATCCTTTTATTTAATTCCTTATGTATCATTTTTATGTACAAGTATTATAATGATGAGAACCCACGTAACAATTGTAGCTACGAAACCTATAACAAATTAGATCAAACCCAAGAAATTCAAAAATCAACGTTTGAAATAAAAATAGACTCAATAAATTATTGAACCAAATAATCAAAACAATTGTAACAATATCTTAGTCCCATGATCACAAAATTTATGAACCTTACTTGAATTATTGAACGCCACAAGAATTTAATTATTGATAAGTTCAGAATTGATTTTATGAAGAATGAGAAGAAAGTAATATGCCTCACAATAATCTCTCTCAAATTGTGTGTTTTTACAATGAATGGAACAAGTCATATTTACATGGAACCCATAAAACCTAATTAAAAATGAAATTAAACATTAAAAGATATCATACAAGAGTTTTAACAAAAATAGAATTTTAGGCGAAATTTAAAAAATACACATCCAGAATTGCACTATGTGGCCGCATAAGCTTCCCTCATGCGGTCTCATAGACCAGTTAATGGCCTTCAATTGAGTTTCGGTAAGGAGCTATGCGGCCACATGCTTAGTTACCCTATGCGGTCGCATAGATCTTCACTTCAGCTCCCTCATTCATTGCTCGAACCAGTTGATCTATCTTGTTCTGTCCTCCATGTCGAATATGAAACTTGTCATTTTACTTGTTGTGGTCGATGTTTCATCCACCATAGCTTAAACAAGTAATGACATGGCTTCTGTGACCTTCTTTCCTCATGATCTAGTCATTGGTCATTTCTTCACGATCAACGGATCCTTATCCTTGCTAACTCCTGTACCATGGTTCTCATTATTCCCCCTCTCTTCAAAAGGATTCATTCTCGAATCACCACCTGCATCTAATATAGGAGATAAAAAATATTGAAAATAGCAGAAATGTTATACTCACCTGGAAGATCCAACTTATAGGTATTGTCATTGATCATTTCAAGCATTTGGAATGGTCAATCGTCTTTCGATTGCAATTTTGACTTCTTTTGAACTAGAAAACATTCATTTCTCATATGTACCCAAACTCAATCTCCTGATTCAAATGTAACGCGCTTTTGTCTCTTGTTTGCTTGAGAATCATAATGCTCTTTTTTTCTCGATCGGCACTGTACCTTCCCATAGAGGGATCTTACCAACTCGACATTTTTTTTCCATCTAAGCTACCTCTCTCATCAACGGGTGAAGAAAT